GGGGAGGCGCGCAGACCGGGGGGAGGGCTGGGGGGAGGCGCGCAGACCGGGGGGGCGGGGGGGGAGGCGAGTGCAGGCCGGGGGGGCTGGGGTGGGGGGGAGGCGCGCAGACCGGGGGGGGGGGGCGGCGCGGCGCGCGGAGAGGTGCGGGAAGACCGGTGTGTCTTCCTTCGGAAGGTGGCGGAATCCGGGAATTCCCGGCGGCTGGGTTCTGGTGCGGGCCGCGGCGGGCGTGCTTAGCTGTGTGGCCGAGCGTGCGCCCTGGCCCGCGGTGCCGCACCCCGGTGGCAGCCAGGCGTTGGAGAGGGACACTGCGAGTTTGGGGCCGCCGTCGGATGTGCCGGGCGATCGGCGAGCAGTTGGAGGAGCGCGCACGGATGTGGAAACGGGGGCGGGGGGCAGGGGGGGGGGCGATTCTCGAATTTTCTTCAGTGATTCCGGCCTTTAATTCGGCGCATCGCCTTGGCCGTATTTTCTGCGGCCTAGCATTCGCACAGGAATGGTTTGGTGCACAGCCCGTTTCAAGAAACGGTTAGGTTTGCAAAACGCAGGCGGCGGAGACTGATTTTTATGCCGAGGTTAGCGGCCCATCGGGGTGCGCAGTTCCGACGTGTGGCCGCTAGGGGTCGTCGCCCCCCCAGCGTTCTCAAAGTTTGGCGGCGGGGCTCCGCTCCCGTCGAGCGAGCTGTTCGGGACCCAGGGAGGCAGGCCTCAGGCTCTCCGCGCCTAGTGCCTTCTCTGAAGCCAGTTTGGCTACAACGTCGCTGTGTTTCTGCCCCAGAAAGGATGGGTTTTCAGTACTCTTATTAAATAATGGCCACTGTGCCAGCTTGAGGCGTTGGTGAAATTCCCGAGGTCAGTCTGGTGTTTTCTGCCCTGTGGGCATTCATGCCTAAGACCTCTGAAGGCCCTCCGCCCTGGGGCAGCCTCTGCTTCTGCACTTGCCAGGTGTAGTAAGCAGTGCCCAGGCTTTGTTCGGAGCATTCAGAATGAGGACCGCGGGGGCCCACTGGCCTGCGTTGTCTCTCCGTCCTAGGCCCTGCCCGCTGGTTGCAGCAGCTTCTTCACTTGGGGCCGTTTGTGCCAGGAATAAAGTCTGTATGGCGATGCCTTCAGACCACGTTTAACGGCTGAAAAGCTTTATCCAGAGAGCCTTTTCTTTTTTTCTTTCTTTTTTTAATTGTGAATTTTTCTTTCCACGATAGTAGTTGAGCTACGGCATTATGTTAGTTTCAGGTGTAACGCAGCGGGTCAGCACTTAACGCATTTATACGTGTTGCGCGACGGTCATGACCGTGTCTGGTCCCCGTGCTGCACCTTCCGTCCTAGGCTGGGCCTTTCATCCCTGTGACTTACAACTGGACGTTTGTGTCTCCTGATTCCTTTCACCAATTTTGCCCATCCCCCTCCCCTCTGGCGGCCACCCGTTCCCTGTATGGGTGAGTCTGTTTGCATGGCGTTCGTTTATTTCTTAGATTTCCACATCTGAGTGAAATCTGAAGGAATTTGTCTGACTTACTTCCCTTAGTATAATACACCCTGGGTCCATCCATGTTGTTGCAAATGGCAGGATTTCCTTCCTTTTCACGGATCAGTAATATTCCACTGTGTGTGTGTGTGTGTGTGTGTGTGTGTGTGTGTGTGTGTGTGTGTGTGTCTCCCCACGTGTATACACCACATCTTCATCCACCTGTTGATGGACACTTAGTTGTTTCCACCTCTCGGCTGTTGTGAATCAGGCTTCGGTGAACGTGGGGGTGCCCGTGTCTTTCCGACATTCTGTCCAGGTGCAGCCCCAAAAACGATCTCTGGATTGTGTACGGTAGTTGTCCTTTTCGTTTTTGAGGACCCTCCGTACTGTTGTGCAGGGTAGCTGCCCTAATCTGCGTTCCCACCAACAGCGCGCAAGGCCTCCCTTTTCTCCACATCCTCACCGACATTTGTTACTTCTTGTCATTTTGATCCTAGCCATTCTGACGTGTGCCAGGATGATTTTCCCGGACGAGGAGTGACGTTGAGCGTCTTTTCATGCGCGTGCTTGGCCCTCTGTGTGTGTCTCCGTTGGAGGAATGTCTACTCGAGTCTCCCCCCCATTTGCGTTTGTCTTTTTGTTACGGGGTTGTACCTGTTCTGTCTTTCGGATCACCCCCTTATCGGACGCATCGTGTGCAAGGATCTCCCCCGTTCAGTAGATTGCCGCTCATTTTGTCGATGGCTTCCTTCCGTGTGCAAAAGGAGAGGGCCTTTTATTCCAGTGAACTTGGCCTTGCATCACCACGCGTTGGTTAGTGTTTTCTCAGGGTACTTTCCTCCACCGCCTTCTTGTCCTGTACGCTATCCGCTTTTGCACGTGCACCTTCTGGAATGAGCTCGCCAGCCTGCCGTCAGGGGTGCAGCGGAAAGGCCTCTCCTCCTCCACGTGGCTGCATCACAGCCACTGGGCCCAGGGTCCCCAAGCCCCTTCCGGTGCCTTTTCACAGCAGGCCGCAGGCTGGGGCCGGGGTGGTTCCGGAGTCTTCCGCAGCCCCTCCCAGAACCTTCCATTCTGTGAGGCTGGGGTCCGAGGGAAGAAGACTCTCACGTCAGATGGGTGTTACGTTCTTGTTAACTTAAATCCTTAGCTGCCTGCGGGCTTTTCGGGGTTCGTCCACTCGGTGCCTTGGGGGTTCGCAAACGCCGGTCGGTCGTGGTTCCCACGTGGCTTTGCGTGACTAGCAGGAAATTCTTTAGGGATTTCCTGGCACAGAAGTGAAGGGGCCGGAGGGGACTTGGAGCCTGAGGGAGGGCAGAGAGGGAGGGCTGCTGGAGCCGGGAGGGGGACCCCTGGCTGGGGGGGAGTGCCCTGGGGGTGTGGGCCATGGAGAGGGAGGATCGGGAACTGTAACTGTCGTCATCTGCGAGGCAGGTGCCGGAGGAGTTGAGTCAGGCACTTGGGTCTGGTGTCCAATTTATGAAGGCACCGACACACCTTGGGAAACGGGGTGAAGAATGTTTTGATGTGATTTTTTTTTTGAAGAGTGAAAATCTATGCGAAAACATCCTGAGATGAAAACAAAGACTGGGACCCTGCACTTGGCCTGAGCCTGCCCACGTGCTTCACATCCTAGGGTTCCAACCCGGGTTCCAGTAAAAACTTGATTCACAAAAGCTGGCAAGCTCTTCGCTGATTTCATGTCTTAAAATATTGCATCACGCAGTGTTTACGTTGATGGCTGAATGGTGGGGGGGTGGGTGGGGAGAGGAAGCCTACATTTTTCCCCGGGGGGGGGGGGGGGGGGGGGAAACCCAAACCCCCCCCCCCCCCCCCCCCCCCCCCCGCCGTGTCCCGGCCCCCGAGGTCATGGCATGTACCGGGGGCCCCCAGAGCGCCACCACCGGTCCAGCTGAAACCACCCCCTCTCCGTCCGGTATGCTCCGGGGCAGGGAGTTGGTGCTCTGGCATCCTGAGTGCCAGATGGTGGGCAGATGGCAGCGGAGGCAGGGGGCCTTGATGGGGGTGTGGTGGTGGTGGGAGGGGACACAACTTCCTTTAGTGTTGTCTGCCATGGGGAAGGGGAGGGACCCGGTGCCGGAAGAACTGGGAGCCCCAGCCAGAGAGGAAACAGCCTCCATTATGTTCGTGACCAGGGTGTCGCAGAGAGGAAAGCTGCTTTGCTCTTGTCGTGATTTTTTTTTTTTTTTTTAAGTTTTTAATTTTTCAGGTTTCCTTTTGAAATAACTTGGGACTTTTGGGGTTAGAAGAGTAGTCCGCATGGTTGTACACCAGTGTGAACGGGCGTCCCGCACACTTAACAAACGGTCACTCTTAGGGGTGGTGCGTGTGTTAGCCCATTAAAAACAAGAACGGAAAGAAAATAAAATAGCACTGGCTTCTGCGCTTGCTGCCCAGGCCCGCCGGGGGGTGACGTGTGCGCCCTGATCACAGTGGGGGCGAGGGCCGAGGCAGTGCCCTTGCCTGTGTCTGCCGTCCCGCGGATGTCCCGGAGCAGACTCCTCCGTCCTTTGTGTCTTCTGTGACCTTAACGCCGCAGAGGAGCACTGACCCCTCGTCCCGCAGAACATTTCTCGGGTCGGGCTGGGTCAGTGTGGGCGGCTTGTCGTGAACGGATTCCAGTTTGGCATTTTGGGCAGAAACGGCACAGAAGCGACTGGGGTGTCTCTTGCAGTCGTGACATCAACGTGTCCCCTCACGGCGATGCTGACGTCAGGGACCGTGTGGGTCAAGTTAGCGTTTTCTCTTCTGGAGCTGCGCGGCTGTGCGACTGTGTGGACACCGTGCTTTCCCACGCGCTTCTGTTCACGGTCGCAAGGCTGCCTTGACGGGCTGTTGGCTGAGATCGTGGGCACCGTGGTGTGTGCACGATGAGCTTGCTTCCTGACGCCTGGCTAAGTGGTGTTCTGTTACTCCTTGGAAATACAACCAGTAGAATCTAATCAGTTTCCCAGCGCGGGGAAGGAAAGAAGCGATGTGGAGACGGGGAATCGGGGAAGCAAAAGCCGGGGAAGACAGGCGACGAAGAAATGGGCGCAAAGGTGGGCTCTTAAACACACGGCAGAGATGCAGAAAGCGAACGCGAATGCGGTGCTGGTCCGACACGTGCACGCAGGCTAACGTCCTCTCCGAGCGATCGGGTTGGGTCACAAGGGCAAAGCCTGGCGAGGTGGGGTTTTTAAGAGCTCTGCCTGTGGAAGGACGCACCACAGCCGGTGGGACGCAGACGGGGAAGGGAGACGGCAGACTGACTCACCGAGGGACAGCGGGGTGACATCAGCACGGCCCGGCACGAGAGTCTGCGTGTCTGAGGACGTGCTGTGAGTGGCAGCTTGGGGGGTTACGGGGAACGTCACCGAGAGGCAAGTGTGCAAATACAGAATTCACAGATCCGAGGGAAGGTCCCAGCTTGTGCGCCCCCAGCGAAGCCCGCCCCCAGGAGGTGGCCCCTCTTGATGACGCCTGTCTCCCCTTTCTGATTGAAGGTGGACGTGGCGCTCGGCGTGGCCCCGTGTGACGTGACCGAGTACCAGCCGGAGGACAGCAACCTCTGCTGCCGGCTCTGCCCCGCTGGTGAGTCCCAGAGAACCTTCCAGGGCCTTGTGGGGCTGCCTGGGGTATGGGGATCCCCGCTGGCTGGTGTGGGCGGACCTCTCCTGGGCAGCCGCCCACCGGCCCCATCCACGCCCCGGGGACTCGTGAACCGGGTTGTGGGCTTGTTTTGGTGAGTGGGGCCGGGGCCGCTGGAGGCAGAGGTGGGGGTGCGTCCCCAGGCTGGACGCTCCTGTCGGGGTGACTGTGGACACCTGAGGAAGGGAAGTCCTAACAGGGCTGGGCTAGCACCGTCCTCACGCACGACGCGTCCGTGGAGCCTTAGTCACCCTCGTGAGGATGCTCTCAGTTAGCCCCATAAAGCAGACGGCGGGCCTCAGGCTCCGAGTGCCTGCTGTGTCCTCGCCTCGGCCCACCTCACCTCTTGCCCAGTCACCGCCACGGCAGCCGGGCCTCCTTTGTGGGGAACCCGGTCAGCCCGCTGCCCCCACCCGCACCTGCGCCCCGCCCACACAGACAGATGTGCACGCGTTGTCGTTCACGGTGTCTTTGCAGGGGCCTCCTCCACACGCATCCACCGCCTCCTTCTGTCCCCCCCCCCCCCCACTTGTGCCTCCTTTGCTCTGGGACCCTCGGCCGTTGCAGGGCTCCTGTTTCAGGGACCAAACATCCACACCTGGGCCGTTCACACCTGTACACCCCACACACACCTGTGCGTCCACAGCTGCGTGCACATGTCCCCACACACGCGCGCGGCTCATCTGGGAACAGGTGGGACACGGCTGGCCCAGCTGGAAACCTGGGGAACTCAGCCTGGTGGCACAGTGAGGGCTGAGGCCCCCTCCTCCCAGGGAGGTGTGATTTGCCTCCACTACGGCCTTTGCACGAGGCAAGTGCTAGACCAGGGGGGCTCCTCCGGGACTGGTCAGAGCCCTCGGTCTCTAGACCGCCAGTGCTCCCTGTAAATCAGCCCGGGGTCCCCGGGGCGCTAGGGGCAGGCACACGGGCGTTGTCAGGCTCTCGGGCCACCTCCAGCGTGTGTGGTCGAAGCCCTCCGCTCACGTGGGCCGGGAGTCGCCAGCGAAAGCCGAGGGGCGCCAGGTCCCCGGCTTCTCGGACGCAGGTGGCCGAGTGTCCATTCAGAACACTCCGAGGAGGTGTGGTTGGTGAGGGCTGGTCCTCCTCGAGGGGAGGCCTCGGGGGCTGGGTGGGGTCTGCTGCGAACCCCCTCCTCACCTCCACGACCTCCCTTTCACACAGGCCAGTACGTCTTCAAGCCGTGCAGGGTGAACCATACCGCCGGCGAGTGCCACGTCTGTGAATCGGGCACCTTCCTCGCCTTCCCTAATGGCGAGCCTACTTGCCAGAGGTGCATCCAGTGCCGGAAGGGTAAGTGGGCACGGTGGGGTCTTGGCCTTTCAACTCGGCCCGTAGGCCTCGCCCCGAGGGAGTTACTACAGGTGAACACGTATTTTTATCAGGACGGTGTGTGTGTGGGGGGGGGGGGGGTTAAGGAATCTCCATCCATAGGGCAGCAGGATTTTAGAGGTGCTGTATACGAGAACTATCTACAAAACTTTGTCTGAATTTCAACATATCAGCAGCGGATTATTTTAAAAGATGTAATTTTTTAAAAAGATAACCATTTGCATCAGCAAAGACAAAGAAAATAAGATGCTTTGAGATAAATCTAGCAAAGGACGTATAAAACGTTGACATGAACAAACAACGGTTTGGAAAATCTAAACATACAGAGAAATACAAGACTATGGGAGGACTCCACGTTTTAAAGACACGTCGGTTCTCTGTGAAACGGTTCTCAGATTTGGTGTGTTCACAGTGAAACTCCCAACAGCACGTAGCAACTCCTCACGCGTGCTGTATGTTTTAAATATATGGTTTTTATTTAAAAAAAAACAAAACAAAACCCTCACAAGGGTTTTCATGGAACTCGATGAGCGGACAATCGCCGAAACCCTCCGGAAGAGGGCAGAGTGCAGCGGGCTCTCCCGTGTGGTCATATTTCGAGGCGACGGAGACGGCGTGATTTGCACAAAGGGGAAGATGGCCCCACGGATGTGGAAAGTGGCCTGTGGCACCGCGACCGACCCGTCCACGGGAGGAAGGGCGGAATCGCAAACGACGCTGGCCTGGACTGCGTGCTGTCCTTTGGTGCAGGACGGGAAGCTTCCACTGCCCCCAGGAGTGGTTCCTTCCGCGTCACAGTCCACAGGTGAAAGTACTGGTTTGAGAGGAAGACGTGACGAGTGTTTGGGACTTCCAGGCAGCGACAGAACATTTTACGGGATTTCTGAAAACCCTACACCATAATGTCGACGTGGGTACGTGTGGCGGCAGTCGAACGTCCCAGCTCCCGTTCTGTCACGAGGCACGAAAGTTAAGCCGCGAAGGGGCAGAACCTGTTTGTGACACAGCCCACGCGTAATTCACACCTGGAGCACATCAGTCGTACGGTTTGGAAAAACGCTTCAAGTGGAGACAGACAGACAGACAGACAGACGTGGTGAAGGAGATGGGCACGGAGCGCCGGTAACCGTGGTGAGGAGCGCCGGCGTGGAGGGACGGACGGACGTGCTGTCTTCTGGCAGCCGGACGGAGCGTCGCTGTGGATGCCCGGCATTCGCGGGGACCGAGAAGAGCGAGCGCTCCGTCCCCACGGGAGAAGCAGGGTCCGCACACAGTTGGGGCTGCCCACCCGCCCCGCGTCCCGATCCAGACCTGGACGGGCTCTTGCCCGTGTGTGCTGGGACGTGGGGAGGAGTTCGCAGTCGTGTAAAGCCAGAAGCAACCCGAGCGTCCGCTGAGCGAGAAGCGGGTGCGCGTGGGAGGAAGCCGTGGAAGCCAGCCCGGCCCGTGCGCGGCGGGATCCCGCCTGCGTCGCGTCTTGCCAAACCCGTCTGGGTTTTGGAAGCGTGAGAGTGGAGTGATGCCGTGGAGGGACCGGACCCGGGTGTGGGTCTGGACGTGGCGTCGAGCTGCGAGTGTGGTCGTGTTTTATCTTCATCTGTATCTCGAGTACGGTTCTTTGACATCCAGTGTGGCGGAAGGCTCTGGAAGGGTGGTCGTCAGCGTGGCCGCTGTGGTTCTCGCTGGCTGGCGGAGGGGGCCCTCTGTCTATGCCGTTCTCTCCCCGAGGTTTTGCTCGTGTGGGAACGTGGTGGTGGTGTGCTTTTGTGGGGTGGACGAGGTGAAGGGCGCTACGGGCTCTCTCTGAGGAGCTGGCCCCGGCCCCTCGGCCCAGGCTGCAGGGGTGAGGGCCGGCTGTTAGCTCCTCTCTGCCCCTGCGTAGACGGGAGGGTGAGGACGGTTCGGGTCCTTGATCAAGGTTCTGGGCGTGGCCCGGTGTGGGCAGGGACTTTCCTGTCCGCCCCTGCTGACCTGCGCCCCTCTCCCACCAGGAGATCAGGAGGTGGTGGCCAAGTGCTCCCCCACCAGCGACCGGCAGTGTCAGTGCAAAAAGGGGAGCTTCTACTGCAACTCTGTGGACTGCGTGGAAAACTGCCTGCGGTGTAAAAGGTCCTGGGGGCACAGGCGTGGGCCCCTCCTGTCCTCCCAGTAGTACAGACCCCAGGCTCCCAGTGGTGGTGGAGACAGTCCAAACACACAGGCAGTGAGGACTCCGTGAGGGGTGGGGGGGGGGGGGGTAGAGGGCGGGGGAGGGGACCAGGCTCTCAAGCAGAGGCCCGGCGAGGAGGGTAGGGAGCCATAGAGGGTTCTGGGGGAAGAGCAGTCCAGGCAGAAGGGTAGGACCGCGCCCTGCGGCAGTGCAGGACGGCCGCTGTCCCCGTGGGGGTCCTGTGGCTGCGGTAACAAAGCGCCACAGCTGGGCAGCTTCGAGAAAACCAACAGAAGTGTGTTCTCTCCCAGCTCTGGACACAGGCGCCTGAAATCCAGGTGTGAGCAGGGCCGTGCTCCCTCCGCAGGCTCTAGGGGAGGACCCTGCCTCGCCTCTTCCAGCCTCTGACGCTGTGGGCGCCCCGTGATGCTCCTTCGCTTACCTTCCGTCTGCTTCTGTCTCTGCGAGGTCACCTCTTGCGTGTGTGTCTCGATGTCTGCACACGGCCTCTCTCTGTCCCGTCCAAGTTCCCTCCTCCAAGGACACCGGTCCTTGATTTAGGCCCACCGTAGTCTGGCACGGCCTCACTGTGAGGTGCTTCTGTCTGCACAGACCCTGTGTCCAAATAAGGTCAACTCCTGGGGTTCTGGGTGGGCGCGGGTTTGGGGAGGGCCTTGTGGGGAGACCTGTACGGTGGCAAAGCCACTTAAAACCACTCCGGTTTCTGAGGCACGTTGTGAACTGGTACGACTCAGGTTCCTGCGCCTGGCGAGTCCAAAGTAAGGACGGCTTTCAGGTCTGGTGTGATCTAGGCTCTGGCTTCTCTGGGCTTGCTTGCTTGTCCCCTTCTCCACGTGCTTCCTCTTTGGCCTAACTTCTCTCTCGATGGGCACGGGGCTCCAGCTGCAGTAGGGCCGGACCTCCTAGCCACACACAGCTCTGTCCAGGAACAGAGAGGGAGGCTCTTCCCCGGTGTGGCACAGAGCATAGGACTCTTTTATTCTCCATGAGCCAGTTTGGGCCAGAGAGCCCGGGAGATTCCAGGCAGTGTTTGCCTGAAGGCTGGCGGGCCGTCGTGGGAGCTGTGGGTGGTGGGAAGGACGTTGCGTGCTGCGCCCAGGCAGGGAGAAGTAACGCTCCGGGTTTCTTCACCCTTCAGGTGTCCTGGCGTTGTCCTGTCCCCTTGCAATGCTACCAGCAACACGGTTTGTGCCACAGAAACTGACCGAGGGCATCCAGGTAAGGGACTGAGCTCATCTCTCTTTTTTTTTTAATGTTTAATATTTGAGATAGAGACACAGAGCGTGAGCGGGAGAGGGTCAGAGAGAGAGAGGGAGACACTGAATGCAAAGCAGGGTCCAGGCTCCGACCTGTCAGCACAGAACCCGACGTGGGGCTCGAACCCACGAACCGTGAGATCATGACCCGAGCCGAAGTCGGCCGCTTAATCGACTGAGACCCCCAGGTGCCCCCTGAGGTCATCTCTTGAATCCAGGTCAGCAGACCTTTCCCATAAAGGTAAAAAGCGTAGGTTTTGCAGGCCCTGCGGTCTCTCTTGTCACTCCTCAACCCTCCCTGCCCCTGAAGCAAAAGCCAGAGACGGTAAGGAAACAGGTGGGCCCGGCTGGGTGTCATTAAAAGCGGACTTGCAGAAAAGCGTACTTGTCGTGGGCTGGGTTCCCGCGGGCCACCGTTCATAGACCTCCGTCTTGAGTAAACAGCATCCTTGGCGACAAGCTGTGCCTTCCCCCCGCCTTGCGCTCTCTTGTGTTACGGGCCTGTGTGAGACATGCCTGCTTCATACTGAGTCGCAGGCAGGTTTGTTTCTTACTTTTGATAATCGTAGCTGACCCCCGAACAGCATGGGGTGAGGGGCGCCGCTGCCCCACGCGGTCAGGTCCGCATAGAACTTTTGATCCCCCCCCAATAGCCTGACTACGAATAGTGTACTGTTAACCGGGAGCCTTAGCAGTGACGTGAAGGGTCGATTGACCCCTGTTTTGTGCGTTTTGTCTATACCGTGTGCTGTGTTTTTAATAAAGTAAACTGGAGGGGAGAAGAGGGCGTTAAGTAAATGAAGGGAAAATACGTTTACGGCGCCCTACTGTTTATAGAAACGATCCACACGTAAGCGGACCCTCGCGGTTGAAACCCATGTTCAAGGCTCAACTGTTTATAAATGTTGGTAATTACAAAGTTAGGGTAGGATTCCTTTTTATCCATGCTGAGGGGTCTCCCGAGGGACAGGCTCTTCGTTGAACGAGGTCCCTTTATTGTGCCCCGTGTGAGAGATCTCTGCTCACCTCGAGATCCTCACGGGACCCGCCAGAAGCCGTACGCTTTTCCCGTTCTGATTGTGTCCTGTGATGAGCCTGGGATCGGTGTTCCGCATGCTGTGGGGTAAGGGGGTCAGGCTTCGATGTGTTTTCCCACACGCACCCACGAATGACCCAGGACCGTGTTTGGAAAAGACAGTCCCTCCCACCTGCCCTCGGGGTCCCTGGGTGGTGAAGGCAGTTGCTCCTGTTCGGTTTGGGGCCACACCCACCTGCAGGCCTTGCCGGCAGAGGCCCAGGGCCCCCAGTCCTTCCTCCGCACGGTCTTTGGTGTGTCAGTTCACACTGCGGAATCGGCTTGTTGCTTTCCACAGAAAATTTTGATTCACATAACGTGCACTTTGAAAGGATATTTTAACACTGGGAAAAATTGGGAAGGGCCTCATCTGAGAATAAGGAACATCTCGGAGTCAAACAGCAGCACCATGCGGAAGTTGTGCCCCATTGTCTATCCTTCCCAGCACCAGCTGCTGACGCCAATGACGTCCGGGTGGCTGAGGGTCCAGGGCTCAGATGGGTGTGCCCTGCCCCCCCACCCCACCGCCCCCCGCCGTGTCTTTGTGTCCATGAGTGCTGTCGGTGCTGTGATCTCACCAGGGTGACACCGGGACACCCAAGTGGTCATACCAGATGTCTCTCCAGGGTGGGCCTGCCCTGTCCCTCCGGCCACCATGGGTGGGCCTTGCTCCAGTCAGGACTGGCCGTCCCCTGCCTCCTGCTGCCGGCTGTGACCGCTCACACCGGAGCCCCGGCCTGGGTACCAGAACCCCTAGCCGCTCTCCTGGCCCTGTACGCCTCCTGCTGCTTCCAGCCCCCTGCGTGGGCCCCACGTCCCCTGAGCCTGGGGTCCTCATCCGTGACACAGGAAGCGTGAGCCTCTCCTGTCTCCCACTGGGGACGTTCGAGATGGTGATCCGTGGGAGAGGGCTCGGGGACTTTCTGTAGCATGTGACTTGAATGAGGAGGGTGGGCCTGACCCTCCTACACCACCCTCTGTTTTGTCTCCTTCCAGAAAACAAACGTGGGTCTGAGTTCCTCGTGCTGTGGGCGACCCTTAGCGTCATTCTTGGCGTCGCCGTCGTCGTCGTCATCGTCCTTGTCGGTATTTATTTGTATAAAAAGAAAGGTAGGTTAGTGTCAGTCAGTCCTGGAGAAGCCAGCTCAGCAGGAGCTCAGAAGTGGACACTTGGGGTTAAGAGGTCCCTGACGGGGACTTTTTCACTTATTTAAAAAAAAACTTTTTTTGTTATTAGTGTTTGTTTTTGCAAGAGACACAGCATGAGTGGGGGAGGGGCAGAGAGAGAGGGAGATGCAGAATCCGAAGCGGGCTCCAGGCTCCCGGCTGTCCGCACAGAGCCCGATGCGGGGCTCGAACTCCTGAACTGGGAGACCATGACCTGAGCCCAAAGTCGGACGCTTCACGGACAGAGCCCCCCAGGCGCCCCGGGGACTTGTCCATTGGAAGCACGGCTGTGCTCATCTTATCACTTGCGCTCCTGAGCTCCGGGCTGTGGCACAGGGCCCCTGCCGCCTGCTCCCTGGCACACGGGTCTTAAGGCCAGGGTCTCAGGTCCACCGGCTGGGGATGCCGTGTCTGGGGCGCTGTCGGCCAAGAAGCAGGGCGAGGCGGGTGCTGTGTCAGCAGGGGGCTCCTGGGGTGGGTGGGCGGGGGCTCCCGGGTGCTGGCAAAGCCCCCCAGGTGGCGCTCACCTCCTGTGTCCTTCCCAGGTGTGCGGGTCTCCTACCAGCCGATCGTCAGATTGTTGAAGGGTAAGTGTGCTTTCTTGCCAGTTCAAGGCACTTCCTTTCCTCACAGAAGTCATTGTCCCCGCTGATACCAACCGTGGTCATTTCTCTTCTTTTTGGTCTTCAGGAAGGTCGGATGGCCCAGGCGGCTTTGTGAGTACTGCCCTGGGGTTTGCCTGATGGTAGCTGCTGGCCTTGGTGGCCGCGGAGTCCCAGAAGATGCCCTGGGGCCGGGGAGGCGGGGTGGGGCGGGCAGGCAGCAGCCCCTTCCTCGGCTGCGTCTGCTGCACCTTGTGTGGGGGCGTCCGCGTGCGCCTGAGCGGACAGAGCCCCAGAATGTGCTGGTCGGGACCAGAGTGGAAAACGAGGCACGGAGGGGCAGAGGGGTTCTGCGTGTGGGTCCTGGGGCTGCCGAAGCAGGTCACGACGCATCACGGAGCTCGTTGCTTCCGTGTCTGCGGCCGTGGGGCTGGCTCTTTCCAGCGCCCTCGGGGGGGGGGGGGGGGCCCCTCCCTGCATCTTTGGGGGGAGGGCGGCGGCCGGGAACCCTGGTTGCTGGGCGCTTAGAGGCATCCGTCTTTCTCTGCTTGCTCCCCACCCGTCTGTGCATCTCAGAGCCGGTCTCCTCTTGGGGACACTCCGCCCCGGGTTACGGCTCACACTAATCCAGTGTCTGCCCCCCCCTGCAGTCAGGTCCCATTCGAGGGCACCAGGGGTTAGAGCGTAGGCACACAGGTGCATCTCGGAGACGCTGCGGGTTCGGTTCCAGACCGCTGCCGTGTAGCAAGTGGCACGGGAAAGCCAGGCTTCAGCACGTAGGAAAGTTCTGCCTGTCCCATACTGCAGTCTCTTCAGTGCGTGATGGCCTCATCTACGCAAACCGTGCACACCTCACGTAAACATTTTATCGTGAGTGCCAACCACCCTCTGAGCTCCGGGTGAGCTGTCCTCACGGATCGCAGGTCACCAGATACAGTAATGACGACACAGGTTGAAATACGGCGAGAACTACCAGAATGTGGCACAGAGACACGAAGTCAGCCAACGGGGTCGGGAAAATGGCGCCCACAGATGTGCTCAAGGCGGGGTCGCCACGAACCTTCATCTGTAGAGAATCGTACTTGGCAGGGAGCCTGGGGGGCCCAGTCGAATTCGGCTCAGGTCACGATCTCACGCTTCATGAGATGGAGCCCCACGTCGGCTCTGTGCTGACAGCGTGGAGCCTGCCTGAGAGTCATTCATTCGTTCTCTCTCTCTCTCTCTCCCCCTCTCCCCGTCTCCCCCTCTCTCCCTCCCTCCCTCTCCCTCCCTCCTCCACCTACCTACACACGCTCTCTCAAAAAAAAAAATCGTACCTGCAAAGTGCAATAAAATGACATAGGCCTATATTTTGGGGCGGGGGCCGCTTTCCACCCACCACAGGCTTGGGTTGGGGGTCTCGGGACCCCTCCCAAGCAGCTGGTGGCAGAACAGGGAGCTCACCCCATGTGGTGTTTTCTAAAACTGCACATTTCCCGCATAATCGTCAGGCACTTGACATCCCCCCACCCCCGCCCCGGGTAGTGGCTTGGGAAGCACCTGTGCAGCAGGCTCCTGTGACCAAGAGAAACGACTTTGTCCTTCAGCCACTGAGAAGCAATTCGCAGCTTGAGACGGTGCGACCCGAGGCACCTGAGCGGGACAGGCCGGCCCCCGGCACAGAAACCCAGCCCGCGGAGGAGGAGAGCCTGGCCTTGATGCCCAAGGCCAGGCCCCACCCGGGGCCCTCAGGGGAGCCCGAGGAAAGCCCTGAGCTGCAGGCCATGGTGGTCGGAGGAAGCCCGGTGGTCCAGGAGCAGACGTTAGAAGCCTCTGCTCCTGCCGCTCCGGAGCCCCAGGACGGGACCCAGGCGTCCCCTTCGCTCAAGAGTCTAGAGGAGGTGAGTGAAGTGTTTGCGTGGGTCCCGATGATGACGCAGCCCGTGCGTAGCGGGCATTCGTGTGCGCGGAGCTCCGCGTTAAGTGCTAACGTGCGAGCTTTCGTAGCCGTCTTGTAGGAGTGCCCTGGGGCGGCTTAAACAGCACATCCCGCCGTCTCAGTCCAAGAACAGGCCGTCGCGGGGCTGCTTCCTGCTGAGGCTGCGAGGGATGGTCTGGTCCAGGCCTCCCCCCAGCTGCCGCTGGTGTCTGGCCGCCTTCGGGGCTCCTTGGCTTGTACTGGCATCGCCCCGACCTCCGCCTGCACTCTCAGGGCCACGTCTCCCTGTGTACGAGTCCGCGTCCAACTTGCCCCTTTTCCTGAGGATAGGGGGCGCCTTGGAATAGGGCCCATCCCAATAACCCTGTTGTAAGCTTACTGCAGGCAACGATCCTGGTCCCAAACACAGTCAGTGTTTACGGGTTTGGGCCTCCGTGTTTTCGGGGGGGCAGGGGGGGCACAGGTCAGCCCCTAACAATCCCCAACCCCACCTGCTGTCCGAAGGGACTGTGACACGGAGGTGGGTGCCGAGGCTCCGAGAGTGTGCTTGTCCGGGTACCGCGCCTGGGGTGTGGCAGGAAGGAGGAGGCCCGGCCCGTTGGTGTCGCACACCAGGGCCTCCCGAGCGTGTGCGTGTCTCGTTCCGCGCGGTGGACCTCGGCCGAGCACCGCCCGTGTGCCAGCCGTGCCGTCCGGGTCGCGGGACCATGGGAGACAGGGGCGGGCCTCGTCCGGGTGTGCTCCCTCTCGGAGGACAGCAGCAGCCCCCATCCTCTGTTGGGGGATGTGGGGGCCCGTGTGGAGTTGTTGACACCCAAATAGGGTTTGACAAGCTAGGCAGATTCCTGCTGAGTGGCACTAGTGGAGGGGGACTGTTCAGGAAGGGGGGGGGCCAGAGCCAGCACTTGGGGCCTGACCAGGGTCTGTTTCTGAATCCTCAAGGAGCTGCGGGACAAGGTCCCAGGGAGGAGATCACAGGACCCTGGGCGGCTGTGGTGGGGGTGCAGGGAGGTCAGGAACTTTGCTTTGGAGCCTGGGTTCCTGGGTCGAGTGCCGTGAGGCGTCATTTCAGGGACACGGTCTATGACTCCAGATTCTCCAAGAGTTCCGAAGGGAGTCAGGTACAGAAGTTAGGACCCTCGTCCGTCTCGGCGGGAGGCCCGGGGGGTCCCTCTCGGGCGGACACCTGTGCGGTGCTCGCACACACTGGCATCGTCCGCGACTAGGAAACTGCATTTACGAGTGTCCTCCCTGTTAGTATTATCTGGGTCGGGACAGGTTGGGGCCCCCCCCCCCCCCCCCCCGGTGACATAGTTCAGCTGTCACCTGCCCGCCCGAGCAGGGGTCTCCGTGCCACGGCGGCAACACTGTGCTGTCCCTTGGCCCGGGGCATGGCGTGTCCCGGGACCATGGGCCGGGAGACACGAGTGGTCTGTGAGCTCTCTGCCCCCGTCGGGAGCTCCCTCAAGGCCACCTCACGTTCACAGAGCCACACCTGCCTCCACCCTGCTGCTCCCTCCCACCACGTCGTGCTTCCGTTTCAGACATGGGTTTCTTGCCCTGGGTCAATTTTATTTCTTTCTCTTCGCAGCGATACAAAAAGGAATATTTTGTCAAGGATAACTCCAAAGAAGGTACGTAATCTGAATTGCTCACTTACGGTGAGTGACCGGGCTTCGCCTTGTTTCCGGGAACCCCTGCCTGCATGAAGCTGTGGGACCTTCTGTCAGCTCGACCCGTGCTTTTTCATAGCCACTAATGGCATTAGGGGAAACAGCATTTGCCAAACATGAGTTTCGCGAGGTTCATCATGCTTTGATCTTATGACCCATTCGTGTGTTTAAGAAACACGGACGGGCAGCAGGAATGCCTTCTATGCTCCTAGATGGGTAGCCCCCCCCTCCCCCCGTTTAGGAGACATGCTGCACGTCGGGTGCTTTTGTATCCCTTCCACTAACAGTTCTGCAAGATCGCCCCATCACATGGGTTTAAAAACATGACAGTGTGAAACTCGGGCTACAAAAGTCGCCCCAGGCCTCAGACCCTAACCATGGTCCCCAGCTGACACCAGAAGGCCTTCCTGTCCCGACCGTCTTATAGCCTTTCTCTGGGGGTCAAGGGAGAGAAGGCAGGTGAACTACAGCAGACTGCGTTCTCCGACAGCTTCCTGATTGCCCCCACCCTCGGCGGCTCCTCCCGGGCTCGGGCTCAAGGGCTCCAGGAACCAGCTGCAGGCAGGGCGCCTGCGGGGCAAGAGCTGTGGCAGAGGTGGCCCAGCCTCTGTCTCCCAGCCCCTGGGCCTGATCACTTCCAGGAGACCCCTGAGGTCGTACAAGACCTCCCATGTCCTAGGTGTGGTGTGCTGGCCAGGGGGCCCGGTCCCGGGGCAATGGGACGGTGGGGTCACCCGTGACCTTATTCCTGGGGCCCAGCGACAGCAGGTGCCACGTGGTCATCCCAGAAATGTAACCGTCTTCTTTTTGGTTTTGTTTCTTGCAGCTACCACTAGCATCCATTATGAGTTTGTGAAGAGCAGCACAGGAAACGACTGGAAGATGTTCATGAGGTTAATTGGTCTGGATGAGATGGACATTGACTCTTGCGAATGCGAGAATCCAGGCAATTTGATGGAACAGCGTCATAAGATGCTCTTTACGTGGCGAAAGAAGCTGGGAAAGGAAGCTTCTGTTTTTAAACTCCTGGCTGCCCTCCATAAACTGGGGCTTCAAATGTATTTGCAAAACATTATAAACAACTTAGTTGCCGAAGGTATTTTAGGCAGGCATGTAGGGACCTCCGACTAAAGTGAAGTTTTGGCATTGGATTATGCCTTCAAGCAGGACTTCAAATGGACTGGATGTGATCTTCTTGCCCAGGTCTATCCTATTAGGAATTGTTTGAGTCCCAGGTGAAGTTGTGTGCGTTCTCTGAATTGATTTCTACAGAACATTTCCATCAGGGAGGTCAGTTTTACGTGCCAGTCGAGAGAGTTTCCCTGCAAGGGACCGGGAGCTTCAGAGACTGCCGGTGGGGACGTCCTGCGGGGACTGGGGATTCCAGCAAGTTGTGGACTCTTGGCAGAAGGATCCACTTACTGTGTCGGCTTGATTCACATTCCTCAGCCCTCTTCTGGGTGCTGAAGCCAGGAGGGTTTGACTGTTTCTGCCATGGCCTGCACCGGGTCCAAGTCACTGCGATGTCCCCAGGACCTAGAACGGGGTGCCATTGTGACTGAGTGCTCTGTGAGTGTGAACAGCTCAGTGACCAGGAACCTGTACCCGGCAGCTGCATGAGACCATCTCAGGGCTTCAGCTGGAGGCCTAGACCCCGGCCTGCTTTTTAAAAAAAATTTTAAGGGGTGCCTGGGCGGCTCAGTCGGTTGAGCATCCAACTTCAGCCGGCCCAGGTCACAATCTCACGGTTTGTGGGTTCGAGCCCCACGTCGGGCTCTGTGCTGACAGCTCGGAGCCTGGAGCCTGCTTCGGATTCTGTGTCTCCCCCTCTCTCTGCCCCTCCCCTGCTCACGCTGTGTCTCTCAAAATAAATGTTAAAGATTTTTTTTTTTTTAACGTTTGTTTATTTTCAGAGAGAGCGAATGACTCCATGTTTCTAAGCTAATCCGTGCTTAGATTGGGCAGGTTGAAAGGAGGTTACATATTTTTTTTAAGTCTATTTCGTAAAAAACTTTTTAATTCTAGTTCATAAAAAACTCTTTCGTAAAAAAAAAAAAAAAAGACCACTCAGAGCCTGAATTCTGCTTCAGATTCTGTCTCCCTCTTTCTCTGCCCCTCACCCATTCATGCTCTCTCTCTCTCTCGCTCTCTCTCTCAAAAATAAACTTGAAAAAAAAATTTTTGTGAAGGTACTGATATCAAGATTTTGTTCTTTATTTTTACCTAATAAAATTTCTGTCTTAAGTAGCATTTCCTTTTATTTCTGGTGGGTACACAATCCTGGGTGTGATATCTTTACAACGTTTATTTATTTTTGGGACAGAGAGAGACAGAGCATGAACGGGGGAGGGGCAGAGAGAGAGGGAGACACAGAATCGGAAACAGGCTCCAGGCTCTGAGCCATCAGCCCAGAGCCCGACGCGGGGCTCGAACTCCCGGACCGCGAGATCGTGACCTGGCTGAAGTCGGACGCTTAACCGACTGCGCCACCCAGGCACCCCATGATATCTTTAGCAGGGGAAGGCATGCACAGGGGAAGGAACGGACCCCAAGGATGTGATTTGCCAGAGGGAGGGGCTCTGGGAATGTCAGTGCCCTCAGAATGGGACCTCCACCCTGCCCTCCTCACTCGCCCCAAACCTCGCCAGATTACCCTACACACTTCCAGCACCAAGCCCTTCGACTTCCAGTTCCTCATTAAATGCTGCTATAGCCACCCAGATCAGGAGCTGAGGTGTCCTCTCAGAGGTGGGATGCCACCAACTCTCGTTGACCCTCCCCGCCACACCCCAGTGTCTGCTGCTTCCTGTGGCTCTCCCAGGCTTGTCTACTCACCCTACCAATCCAGGCCACCATTCGCTCTCCTACAGACTGTTGAAAGGTCTCGGGCGTTACTTTCCTCTGGCTCTCCGGGGTTCATTCCACTAGCACCTGGCGATTGAATGACAGTCCTCAAGCACAAATACAGTCATGCCTTGTCCTGTCTAAACCCTTCAGGGGTCAGTGCCCTTCTTGACCTTGCTTACAAGATGCTTCAAAAAGGTCCAAGCTATGGCCTGTGCCTGGAGCCCCGCCTCTTGCCAGGGCTGCTCCAGCACCTTCTGTGCTAAGGCTCACGTTATCAGGGGCTGTGCTTTCTGCTGGGTTCTTTTGCAGGACAGTACCCTCTACCTGGAAGGCACTTCCCACCCATCCGGAATCCCGTCTTCTAAGCTTCCTTCGAACTAGTCCTCCATCCAGGCCAGCACATTCCTGTCTCGGGGAGGCGGGATAGGGGTGGGGGGGGGGTGGGCAAGGGCCTGTCCCCACACCGCTGGGTACAATGCCAACTTAAACAGGCATGCGTGAGATCTGTCTTTGATGCCTGTCTCCCGAGGCGGGACTGCAACATTCCTCCCTGACACCCCAACCCCAACCCCACACACACCTCCACCAAGCCCCGCGCCCAGGCTGGCCCCGGGCCTCGTCATGGGCCCGGACACGGAACGGGTAGCTCCGGGGATGCCCAAGGATGACGTCCGCGGCGCTGTAACAACTACAACTCCCAGCATGCCCTGAGGCGGCGGCGTCCCGGGTCCGCGGCGGTTGCCTAGCGACCGGGCGTGTCCCGGAAGGCTGGGCGGAAGCTGGGCGGGACTTCCGGGGCGGTGGTTGCATCAGATTCTGGGAAGCCGGCGCCGCGGCTGCTGGTTTGTAATTCCTACGATGTCAGGTTCCTCTGGGGAGCAGGGTGAGTGCGCGCGGGGAGGCAAGCGGGGCGACCCCGGGCCTGAGGGGGCGGCGGGTGTCCGGGGCGGGCGGGGGCGACCCCGGGCCTGAGGGCGGCGGGTTTCCGGGGTGGGCAGGCTGGGGGCGACCGCGGGCCGGAGCGAGGCGGGTTCCCGGGGAGGGCAAGCGGGGGGCGACCGCGGGCCCGAGGGAGGCTGGTCCCCGGGGAGGGCAGGCGGGACGACCCCCGGCCTGGGCCTGCGCTGTCCGCACTTCGCTGGGACCCGACTTGGCTCCTGACGGCGCCGCGGCCACCCCCTCCTCGGCCTCAGTCTCCTCGGGTTGTGCCCGGGACGACCTCGCCCCCTCCAGCCCCAGCTGTGCTCCGGGGACAGGCAGAGCCCGAGGGTTGTTGTGATTTGCGCCCAGCCGGCCAGCAACCCGGGGGTGGGCGGAAGACGCCGGGGGTACGCGGCCGCACACATGAAAGGCTTGGGGTTTCACGAAGCCTTTCATCTGCGGCTCCGCAGACAGTGGTCATTGGGATCTGCGTGGTCGGAGCGTTATTGCCGCACTTTATTGCCGCCGCGGAGGTTCAGGGAGCAGCCTTGGCTCTGCCCACCCGGGTCACCGATGCCACCAGCGGGTGGACAAGTGAGTCCACAGGCAGACCTCTGCAGAGCACTGGATCTTCTCCCACCGTCCGGCTCGCAAGACTGTAGCCGCTGGCAAGACCAGAGACTGTCACCAGGATTCCTAAGTCTGGAGCCGACTTCCCTCGGGAAGCACTCTGAGCGTAGAGTTCTTATGCTCTTGGCTGGTGACGGTTACATGCCAGTCTGCCGGCCTGCCCCCAGTGTAGGCTGGTCAAGGCTTTCCTGGCCCCCTGTCCTCCTCTTTGCTCCTGAGGCCTCTGGGGCTCTAAGTGGGGAAACCCAGCGATGTGAGAGGCACCCATGTGCCGGGGCTGCTGTCCCACACCAGTGCCCACATACCAGGCCCGCTGGGTGTCACCCAACAGGTGTGCCTGGATTCCAGCACTGCCCCCACCTGCCTTGCCGCCAGACAGCCCTCGGACAGGTGTCCACCCAGACTCCCGTAAAACAGCATCGTGCTTCCCAGCCCTGACCGCAGAGCCGGTCCGGCTGGGCTGGGGTCCCAGCTGTGCCCCTTTCTCGCAGCACAGAGGGGTGACGCGTATGGCCTCAGAGGATGCGGACCCCTAAAGGAGTCATTACTAGGGACAGATTTAGAACAGCGCCTGGCACGGGATAGGTGCTGTGTGTCTGGGTTGAGACTAGAGCTGCTGTATTGCCTTCTGTCATTTTGTCTTTTTTCTTTTTTTTAAGCTTATTTTTGAGAGGTGGGGGAGGGGCAGAGAGAGGGAGAGAGAGTCCCCAAGCACACGGGGCTGGATCTCATAAACCACGCGGGACTCCATCTTACAAGCCATGGGGATCGTGACCTGAGCTGAAATCAAGAGTCAGGTGCTTAACCGACTGCGCCCCCGAGCCCCCCCCCCCTTTTTTTTTTTTTTTTTAATGAAAGTGTGGTTTTGGTTCATTTGTGAACATAGATGACATATTGGTTTTTTCCTTTAATTGCTTTAGAATTTGAGGTTTTTGGAGCCTTGATAGGAGTTGGCCTTGGTAGGATGTCTGGACCGCTGATAGATTTTTGTAGTTTTGTGCCTTGGGACCACATGTCCCAGCCAGGGGTCGGCCCCAGGCACAGCCCACCTGTACTTCCTTTACTGCCGCCCCCCCCCCCACACACCTGTTCCCCAGGCTTCCCTCAAAGACAACACCCTAAGACCACCCTCTGAGGAGACTGGAAGTAAAATGAAACTGGAAAGGGCTTTATATTAGGTGCCAGGGTTGTAGATGTGCTTGGTTTCCAGTTCCCGAAAGGTTTTTGTTCTGAAAGTTAGAGTCATCAAAAGTGACCATCTTCCCAGACTTGAAAGAGACCCTCATTTAGAATATTCTTCCCATTTCAGATGGTCTTCCCTAAGGTGGTTCAGAACATCTGTTTGGTCCCCTATGATGACATTGGGTTTACGGCCTCTCCCTTGTGTTTTGAAGGCGCCCGCCCCTCCCAGGTTCCGGTGACTCTTCTGAGGACCCCTGGGGGCACTCGGCTCCTCTCAGAGGCCTCGCCCTGCAGACTCGCAGCCTCTGGTGGCTCTGCGTGAGGTCCAACTTGCTGTTCCGTTTTTATGCAGTGCAGTGCAAAGGGTCCTCGCGATAATCACGTAGGTAGCATTGTTCTCGGCCTGCGCGTCTTCCGGGCCCTGGTCTGCATGCGCCCGTCCCGGCCTTTGGTCCTCAGAGCGACTCTGGGGTAGATGCTGTGCTTCTCTTCCTGGACCGACGAGAGTCCTGAAGCTCCGAGGAGTGAAGTGATTTGTCTGGGGTCATACAGCCAGAGGTAGGGCCAGGCTTCTGTGGTCTACCTCAGACCACAGTGGGGATCTTAACCACGATCCCGAGCTGCCTTTGATGATAATCTGTCCGATTCCGTTCAGAATAACAGCGAGGGTCCTAATTCCAGAGTGTGTCGGGACAGATAAGATCAAGGCAACATGCTGCTGGGTTTCCCAAAGAAAAACGGAACGTGTGTATTCATAGATTGCAAGTATTAGCTCAGTTGTGAACTCACATTTCCCGGTATTTACTTTTTTAAAGTTGTAAGAGAGGTGCCCTTGGGGTAGAAACTAAGCCATCTCCGGTGTCCCGGCACCCGCTTACCTGGGCAGCAGACTGTGCTTGTAATCACCAGAAGGTCTGTGCAATGCCACGTGAGAGCGTTATAATTTCTGTTTCGGTGGAAAAGCGTCACTGAGAGGTTGAAAAAGGTTTGCTTAAATGGATCTGTCACCTGCCATTTACCCCGCGAACGCACGTGGAGCGCCTGCCTTGCTCGGCACCGCGGGGCCCCGGAGCCCTGAATGCGAGCAAGGGCGAGCCATCTGGCAGAGGGCTGGGTGACAGCAGTGAAGGGCGAGCCCCTTCTGCCGAGGCGGGTCAGCGCCAGGGTGGGCTGGAACCA